GTCTCAGATGCCTCTACATGCCTAAATGCGTTGAGTTGCTCTTTGTTTTAAGGACTAGTTGAAAACTCATACCTAGTATAGTGGTCAGTAGACAACAAGGTAGTCGAATCAGCTCAGTGATCATGTTCTGAAGAAGACCAGTAAACAAAATTTTACAGCTCTGCTATATCAGCCAGCATCTATTAAAACATCTTATTGGATCCTTTGTTCAATTGTTGGTGGTGGTTTTAGATTTGAAATGGGTAATGTTTAGAAAAAATATGTTATCTACATCATATATTCCCTTAAACAAGACAATATATTAAAATCCAGTCTGACTAAAATGTTAATCCCTCAACTCTGATGTGCTGAAATGATCTTTTTAGATTATTTTTTTAAACATTTTTGTGTATGCTGTGTATAGTGACCGGTAACAAACACAGACAATGGGAGATTTACAGTGTTATTCTCAAAGTCATTGCTCCCCCTTGCTAAGAGAGTTGGTTGAGGCAGAAATCTGATAACAACTTTGTGGGGAAGATGAAAGATGTTCGTGTGAAACAGCTGAAACAAATGCCCCAGTATGCTCTCCTCTCTTTGTCCCTGTCTGCTGATAGATGGAAAGTGTTCCCCTTCCAGTTTAGTCATCCCTCTCACAAGAAAATGTGTTAAGCATACCATATGTAACAAATGCTCTCTCTTCATCTTTATTTCATGCACTCTGTTCCTGTTTTTGAGTGTGTTTGTGTGTTAGGGTCCTGCAACTCCCTTTAAATTCTGCAAAAGTTATTATTTATATTCAGCTTATGCTATGAAGCACTGTGCAGATTTCTATGTATTCTCACACATGTGTTTCTACTTTAATTACACACTTTTTTTCACATTATTTTTCATTTGTTACAATTTTTATTAGGTGACTTTTGCAGTGATTTAACTAGAGTACGCTGTGCTAATGCACTGGAGCAGACTAAATATAGTTAAGGGTGTTTTTAAATCCCCAATGTCGTCAGTGAGCTGGGTCTAATTCATAAACCATAAACAAGAAAAAGGAAATACAGAAAGAAAGTCCACAGTACCAAGACTGTGTAGAAAACATGGGATAATAAACTCACTAAACATCAGGACTATCTTCTGTTTTCATTACTAATTGCCAGCTTCTTCTGCAGCTACTGTAGCTTTACATCTACACCTGGTTTTATCTGTGTCAGGCGATGTTCTGTTTCAAGGTAGAAAACTCATTAATACTAGTGATAAGTACTACTGGAGGGAGTTAAAGTGCAGCTATTAAATGTTTAATATTTTCTGTGTCATATATTTAAATCAATATTCTGATTTTCTTTTTCTTTCCTTTTTTTACATGAACACTTTTTTGTAATTTTTCTTTATGACACCACCACAATTCGATGTGTATAATCAAGGCTTAACTGCAGTGCAGCTTTAAGCTAACAAACTAACATCATTTTACATACAAGGGTTGTTTTTAATACATGAATGAAAATGCATTGCAGTTAATGAAGTCTAGAATCCATGACCATCACCAAATACTGTTTCTTTCCTTGCGATGCTCTGTCAGGCCTTTACTGCAGCTACCTTCAGTTTCTGCTTCTTTGTTTGATCGTAGTAGAGATTCAAACACTTCAGAGTTCATCCTGATACTTCTATTAGCAGTCACATCATCAGTAAACAAAAATGGCCTGTCCATCTCATAATGCTGCCTCTGATGCGTTATGTTTCATATCATTAGGAGCTTCTTTCCTTCTCCATACTGTTTTCTTCCCAACACGCTGGTTGTAACTTGCTGTAAACACTCTATGCTTACATTCATTGTAGACTTTGACAATGGCGTGCCTACCTCCTCCTGTTGTTGAATTGGATAGATGTTGTGAAGTTGTTTTTCTTAACCACAGAAATACTTCTGTTATTCATGACTTCTCCTGTGTTTCAGGTCTTTTGGTGTCAGTGAATCAATCAATATTCTGACCAGAATGTATCAGATTTGTGTCACTTTCAAAAACTTATGGGTCTCACTGCATACACCTTTGGAAGGTGACGCTAATTTTAAACATTACATTTGAAATAATGAGGTAAGCGTACGTACAAGTAATTCCTGTGAGCCCAAGGTTCAGACTTTAGACTGCTCTAAACACCAGGTTTCTGACAAGTTTTATAACACTTAAATCTGCGTTATGTAAATAAAAAATAAAAATGTTTTTTTCAGACCATGAACAGCCAAAAGGCAGCATGTTTGTTTGTTCAGACCACTTCCCAGGGGACTCTTGTGAACAGGACCTATGTAAAGCTAGATGTTCAACCAACCTAATGCTAAGAGAAAGCTACTTTTTAAAGAGAGATGTAGAGAAGTCAGACCCACAAGCTGTAAACATATCACTGAAATACTTTTCTGGTAGGGAAAACTGGACAGCATGAATTGTGACTGCAGCTTTAGTTAAGACCATGGGCATGATTATAATGTAGCTGAGCTGTTCTTTGTAATTCTTCTATCACTTGCTAGCTTTGTGTATAACAAATGATAGCCCAGAGAGATAATATACAGACACTTAGAATCAGCAGAATAACATTTTGCTACTTTAACTGTGGTATTTCCACAGAGCCAACGTTTTCATATGAAAAGGGAGTTAGGGTAATTCCCTCACATCACCTCACCTATTACCAGGGACATGAGTATTTAGACACTGTTTGATACAGCTTGGTACTGAAGAATTAAGTCTACTGTTATATCCCAGGGTGTGCAGGTATTCAGTGTAATATTTCCACTGCTGTAATCTTTGCTCCTGTAAAAGGTGCCACATTTATATTCAAGTTTGGGAAGTACTAGAACTAGCAGTAGAACTAAATGACAGTAGCTGTGTCAAGGCTAAGTACCAGAACATCTGGGGGTACTTTTTTAACCATGCAAAGCTACCCTAGTAGAGTCCAAGAAAAAAAGAAGCTGAAAATTAGCTCCTCTTTAACCAAGTGGTGGAAAATATGAGGGTACTACCAAAAAATGCACTATTATAGCTGTGAAAGAGTCTGTGACATTTCTACTAATATAGAATTTGACCTAATACCTCTTTTGTCCTTCCACTGAAACAATTCTGTTTACCGCTGCAGGGGGTAGAGTTTGCCATTTTAAATGCATCTATCTCACTGATGATGCAACATTTTCTGAATGATTCCTTAAAAGTGGGCCAGTGTTAATGTCTACATTTGGTTTGTAAGAGTCTGAATTGAGGCGGTGTGCCATGCCTTTGGGTATTTTTCTGAGTCTCGCAGACTGCTTTTTAAACATCAGTGATTTCTACTGTAGTGTGTGCATGTGCATGATTGTGCCTAATTGTGTGTGTGTCTGTATTATGCATTTGTGCAGAATAAAATGAATGTATCCACACCCACAGACACACAAACAAAAGGTGCAAGAATTCCATGTTTTCCCAGTGGATTCCTGTTGATAGAGCAGCACTATTCCCACAACCCACAGAGAGGGACAGCTTATGTGGGTGGTGGGCTGTCAGTCAAATCCTTATGTACAAGCGCAAGTGATCCATGAAGGGAGTTTGAGATTTCACTGTCATCCTCAGACTGGTCCACTGCAGATCCCCCCACCGCACCCCACCTTCTGACTCTGTTTCTGCTCCACCGGCCACAAAGGCTGCATACTTTGTGCATGTGGCTAGAGCTGACTGCAAATCATTGAGGTGAACAAATAAGGTAGCCTCAAGATAGCCAGTGTCCCTCCCTATTTGTTGAAGCTAATTCTGCACAGTGCCATAAGGTGTGTGTTGAGTGGGTGTTACCCGCTTTACTACATTGGGGTGGAGGGTGTTGTTTTATTTGTTATTGTACTGAATCCCAGCACACCGTGTAAATGTGGTAATAGGTAATGTAAAGCATAACATTAGATTACTACCACCTGGTGCTACTGATGCTGCGTCTGCTCCTGCTGCAGTACCGCTACCTGCCGCTGGATGCCACCGATGCATCCTGAGCACATTCAGCGCTCTCCATGGTGCTGAAACAATTACCAGAGCAAATCCTCAAATGCGCAATCTAAAGCTTAATGTGCAAAAAGTGTGCTTAAATAAATTTAACCCAGCCTACATTGTAATTATAACCCGCTGTAATCACGGGCATTAAATCATGTGTCAAAACAGCTGCCGTCGCTCATTTCACCAATGGGTAGAGAAATACTGATGACCCTTTCAAATCCACCTGTGGGCCTGAGTCACAAGAGGGGTTTTGATTAACTGCGTGGGAGAAAGGTGTGCAACAGTTAACTGTACATACTTTGCACAAACTGAAGGAAAAAGACAGTGAAGCACGGAGCGATGTTTCAGTGCTCCTCATGGGAGAGTTGTGGGATGGCGCCATGCAGAGGTGAGCGCGACGCGGAGGGTCTCGACCATCCAGACCTGTCCATCGCTCCAGTGTCGAGGGACCAGCATCAAGTCAGTCACCGGTAGCTACAATGATACAGGAAATAAAATAAATTACCTCACAAATAAAAGAAGTACGTGTGTTTGTTAAAGAGCTTTTCAACTTATATGCTCGACAGAAAATTGGCTAATGAGATTGTCAGAAAAAAAACTTCATCTGGGACACAGCCCGAATTCTCCCGCGTGTATTGTACAGCCAAATGAATAAGGAGCGAAAATTTCAGAGAAGGAAAAAAAAAAAAACACCTCACGTTTTTCCAAATCCAAAGGAAAATAAATAAATTCTTCTTTTCTTCTATATTTACTTACATTTATACTTCTAGTTAATAGTTTCTTTGTGTTTGTAGACCCTTTCAGAATATAATTAGGCAACATTAGTGTCTGTTTGTGAAGGACTGTGATTGTAAGTAATTTGCAATTTGGATGTTTGACATTCGCGTTTGGATTTTTCTTCTTTTAGTGTTTGTCCCCAGTGTTAGAATCGGTTGCTCGTTAGCGGGGCTATTATTTTGAAAGGATTAGCCGGACGTTCAGCACTTCACCTGAGACAGCTCGCCTCGTGAGAACTGAACGGTAAGACCGGCTGGCTGGTTGGCCACACTCGCGCTGGGTGAGCTGTGAAGTTAAATCGACTACGAAGCTGTCTCTCCTCTTTTAAAACCAAGAGAGCAAGCGAATATACCGACCGACAAACAAACATCTTCCCTCACATGTTTTATCAAACGCCATTTTTTGTGCGTTTTTTCTTTTTTTTTTTCTTTTTCGGTGAAGGACTCCAGAGCTTCGGCGACTTCTCCTTCACCGTGCTCGCCTGGAGACGGAATATAACGCTTTAATGACATTTTCACTCCCGGATAAAGAAGCTCGCTGAATGAAACTTTATACTTTTTCTTCTGGATAGGTGAAGAAGCTCCGCTGTTTATTTTTCTATCTGTAGAAAAGGCGTGTTGACTGACGCTGTGGACCGCTGTATGGGACGCACTTAAAATGGTCGGTCACCTCAAGTTCCAGGTCGGGAGGTTAACAACGATGTCAGGACTCGCTGGTTTTGGAAAATGATTGCTGGCAGCACCGACGCTAAAATAATGGTCAGAAGATGTCTAGTAACGTTCAAACCGTTCAGGTAAGAACAAAGAGCTGACACAGTTTTCTTATAGCCTCCAGCATCGTGTGCATCCCCCCTCGCTGCGTTTATGTTTAGCATGCAGTTTTATTTTTTGCTTGTTTTGTTTTTTGTTTTGTTTTTCTGACTGACCCAACTTCTGGCTGCACAGAGTTGCAAAGCCCTGAAAAATACAGTAATTCGGCAATGTGCACATGGAGGGCAGGGAAGGAGTGCATACATGTGTTGTCACTCATCAAAACACCCACACACCAGATGTCCCTCCTATCAATTTCACCTAAATCCATATGGATAAAGACGCAATACGCGACTGTAAATGTTGATAGAGCGGCTCTAAGTCTGCACTATTTGCAAACCGTGCTCTAACTTGCTGTAGTTTCATATTGCGTGGATCGCTGATCTACACCTGTGTGGCTCTGTTGCATTGGAGAGGATTCCTTACATATGAATAAAAGAGTTTATACTTAACTGAGCAGATCTCTGACAGCCCTTCCTATTAAATCTTCTCTGATAGTGGCAGATTTTAAATCCTTAAGGTAATCTGTCTCCCAAGGACCCCCCCCCCTTCCCCACAATTTGCCTTTTACCCAGTTTCCGTTGCTGAAAGTGTTACATGTATGTAGTAGGGTAAGGGAGCAAAGCTGTGCAATCTTTGAAAAAAAAAAAAGGTGGGGGGAGTGGGGGTAGTAGGATGGGGGTGGGGTGATGGTTACACTCATGTTGCATGGAATTACTTCACCTGCCATCTACTCCGTAGATCAAGCATTAACTCAGAAACACATTCAGCTAAGCAGCTTTGTGATAAAGCCACACTAACCTCGACAGCACAGACAATGAGCGCTTGTTGCAGATTTGTGTAGTATCGCATTTGAAATGAAGCCAGATTTTAGACCTTGTATTCCATTATGTTTTTCCCTTAATTGAGGAAAAAAAAGCAGGTTGGTGAGATGAAGGTTCCCAGGCTCAATGCACAGATCCCTGAAAAAGCACAATATGCGGTACATTAACCTTAAGTGATACTCCCAGGCTCAAGCCAAAAAAAAAGTGCCAAAATGATACATGTGGAAACATAACCTCTTGTGAATTTTTATATGGTTCCGTTTCTGTGTATTAACTCCACAAAATAAGAGTCATTATGAGAATTTAGGCTCATTTAGGTGCCAGGAAAAGTTTCTTGGAAAACGCCACAACTAACACCTACTCCCTACCATGCCTGGTAGAAATTCTCTCCCTTCAAAATCATCTACCTAGAGGCAAAATCTGATAAGTATATTTGTGAGGAAGCCAGTTAACTGATAGCACATCTCTCTCTCTGATCCAATTATAAGGAGCAGAACATTCACTTTAAGCCTGTTAATTAAAGCCTCGTCAGGCAGGACCGGGGCATAATCCTCTCATATCACCCACCTAACGCCACTTCGGAAAAACGGCTAAACGATAAGTGAGGAAACGTTTGCCCTAGGACAGCATTAGACCAGCCTCTGCACTCCCGCACGAGCTGAAAATCTCTTTTTCACTTTCCATTAGCCTGTTTCTTACAAACATCGCTGCCTTTGCCTCATCCTCTGCACACTCACACACACAAAATATCCCTGCATCTAGGATAAATTATAAAGAAAAGATAAAGTGGATTTAAAAAAAAAACAACCTTTGTGTTTAGCTATAAAAAAAAAAATCTTTCTGTGAGTAACCCCTTTATCTTTTCCAAACTGTCACTGCCCCCCCCTGCCCCCCCTTTTTATCGCAATATTACAAAGCACTGACAAAAACAATGATTTCCAAATAACAGGCCATCTTCAGTAAAGGCCTGTACCAGATCGGGTTGACTTTTCTGCTTTCCTCACTGGTTTTCTGAGCAGATGTTTGTAGAGTAAGTGCATAATCCATGCAGGTGTAAGTATCTTCGGATCACGGCCGCACAGCGATGTCAAATAATCTCTTGATCACAATGACTGTATGGGTTTAAAGTCACATCGCATACTGAAGTGTTGCAGTCTGTTCCTCTGACAGTGATCAAGCTGTTCTAATACATTCCATAATATGCATGGAACAGATGGGGTGGGGGGGGGTTTAGTATTTCTTAATATTGCAGTTTCCTGGGAGAGACAAACAGCTAAATGATAAAGCAGAACAAATGAGAGCGTGCAGCAATGGTTAGATACTGAGACTTTGAAATAGCAACTGTGATTATGTTCTGTAAATCAATAAAGAAATTCTACACGCACAAAAAGTCTGTTAACATGCTGACATTTTATTTATTCAAGCCACTCGCTGTAATCTTGACGGGCACGGTGATAATCACTTTAAAGTCTTGTTGAATAACCTGCTTTTGGCACCAGAAAATAACGCTGAGAAGGAGGATTGGGAAGGCTCACGTCAAAATGTACTTGTGCACAAATTACTGTGTGTGTCCTGCACTGTAAATAATTGAATTCAACCGTATAGCAGCTTGTATTTGGTGCAACCCATTAAATTCAAGCTATGATCAATGTGACTTTTTCAGTTTTAGTGTGTTCTTGTGTTCAAGAAGGATGGAAAAAAAAAAAAGTTTCTCAAAGAAGAGAAGCTTTGCTGGATTATACCTGATTGCATTTTCTATGACTCAGGACAGGACACACTGGCTCTATCTTGAAGTCAGAGTCGCTCCAGTGGCTTGCCAAACCGCCAAGCTGTACACTTAACAAATTATTCGACATCATCTCTATCCCACTTGGTTAGATCAGCTCAGCAAATGTTCTTTTAAGTGGTCGTTCCTCCTCAGTGTTGATAGTAATTTGTTTCCTCAATATTAAGAGGTTTAATTCAGAAACTGGTGTGGCAGGAGCTGCTTACCATTTCAAGAAGTGCTGTCAGATTTTATAGTGGGCCAGGCATTCATGTAAACAACTCATGCCTGGCTCTGGAGGAAAGGCAAATATAAATTATTCATATATTTGTTTTCTTAAAATTCATGTGTTCAACTTCTACCACTTTAAGTTGTGTCCAAAAATTTTATTTGTGTGAATTGCCATTGTGATATTACAAAATCATGCTGTTTAAGATGGGTATAATTTGTATGGTTAAAGAATTTACCCCCCAAAATGTACATGATTTAGAAATATGGCTTAAGTTGCTGAATTAACTGCTGTTTATTTTACTGCTGTTTATTGTCACTTAACCCAGTTTTTAGGAGGGGGGGGAGGGGGTCCCATTTGTGGATGTTATCAGTGGAGCAACAAACATTTTAAAAGTAGGGCTCGACTTGTTAGGCACAGAGGCTGACTGTTATTTTGTCCAGTGAATCAAAATCATGACGGTCTTTCCTCGCTTCTTCCCCCAAAGATTCTCAGCATAATGAGATAACCTCTGATCCATATACACTTAAGAGAGTAACTTAACTAGGACAAGAATTATACAGACACCAAAGACCTGATTTTTAAACTCTTTTAAGCCAGCGATTGCATTCTCTCATGGTCGTCTAACCAGGCAGAACCGACACAGACCCTCATTTTCTTTTCCCCTCTGTTTTATGGTGACATTTTAAACATCTGATATTTGCCACAAAACAGGGTAAAAATTCAGTTTGTGCCATGAAGCTAACCTGTCTTTTAGATCAAAATAAAACTAATATAACCAGGAGTTTAAGTGCTACCATTAACGTTTTATGACAGAGGGCTGGCTGATGCCACTTTTTGTTTCAAAGACTTTAGTTAGCATTACACTTTCTTATCCGTTTTTAGCAACGTAATGCTTTTGGCTCCATTCTTCCTTCTTGATGCCTTTTTGCCCTCTTTCCCTGTGCACACCTTTCACATTGCATTAATAATCACTTGCTTTTTTTTTTCTTTTCTTTTTTTGCCCGCACTTAGCAACACATTATTTTGGCAGTTGTTCTTGATGTGTGCCGAGCAGTAATGTCACAACACTAGTTTGTTTCAAGTGCCCTTTGGCTTTGAGAGTCTTCTCTTCTATGTGCGATCACTGCTCCGTTTGTGCTCTGCCTTCTGGAATTTCTTCCTGCTTTTTTTTTTTTTGACTCTGTTCATGTCTCTTCTCCACATTTTCTCCCATCCTCTCATCTTTTTATTTTCCCCTCCCTCCTTTTTTTGCTGTCAATCATTTTATTCAACTAAAACGTGTCTTCTGTAATTGTTGGCATTTTCATCTGTGTGCAAGCCTACTTTTTCTTTTCATGCTTTACACCTTTCATCACTTTTCCATTGTGTGGCTTAAAAATCTCCCTCTCTTATTTCTCTTTCTATTATTATATTATTATTATATTATTATAATATTATATTCCAACTACTTTCCCACAATATCAATTTACCTGCCCATCTTGATAAATATGCTTTTCCTGTCTTAACTCCCCTTTTATCCTTTCCTCTCTCCTCTCACTGTGTTGCAGGATATTCGTGGTGGGAATAGGCTTCTTCAGCCTGTGTTTTCTAATGACCTCTCTGGGGGGGCAGTTCTCAGCAAAGAGACTGGGGGACTCCCCCTTTACCATCCGCACAGAAGGTAATGACATGTTTTGTGTGTGACAATGAGAGCCCGCTTGCAAGTATATGTGTGTAAAAGCTCTTCCTCTGAATTAAAATGTTTCATGTTTTAAAATTGGTATACTGCATAGAAATCATGAGGAGAAATTCAAATACCACTGCACAACCAGTGAAATTGTGAAATCTTACACCAGTGTGACCTTTAGTGGGAAAGCTGCTGCTTTTTTACTTTAAAGACTGCAGTGGTTGGATTAAGATTTTTATTTCAAAAACTAGAAGAACAACCTTGGTGTCTCCACACCTTTGCACACAACAGTACACTTGAAATGAATCCTAATCCAATTAAAACACATATAATATGTACAGTGGCAGAAACAATAGAATAGAATTAGCATCATTTTAATGTCTCCATGGGACATTTTGCTTTACAGGTTATATGCCAATACAGTATATACATGGATCCATGTTTGCACACATGCATATGGTAAAACCCAACACTGGATCTAAATGCACACAAACTGTAAGGGAGAGGATTGAAAAACAACAGCAGGACAAATGACTCTCTGAATCTGTTAAATCAGGAACTATATGTGTAAAGACTGCTGAGTGTCTGAAAGACTGGTTTGTGCCGTTGACAGGACCATCATTTCTACTTTACCGTTTGTTTATATGAAGAATATCAAACCAGCAAAATATAGAAAATTAACTTGAAAAATAATAAAACATCTTCATCAATGCATGCCTGTATTAAAACTTCTTCATATAAACTGGATATTTTACCCCTCTGAGGCCGACCACACCACCCTGTCATCTGTTCCAAGTTCCTGGACACCAGAGCAGCAGCTATTACCCCACACAACACATCACCTCTACTCTCATCCCATCCTCAGCATGTCTTTCTGCCTACTTCATAAATGCCGCAGTGCAGCCTTTCATCCTTCTCTCCACTGGATGTTTTTCATGTTACTGAGCTGGTTTGTAGAGCTAAGGACTTCATCTGTCTCCTGGACACTATGCCAAAAACCTTGGCCAAGATATCAACAAGTCTTTAGAAATTAGACTGGTACCCTCAGCTCTCAAATAGCTGCTGTTTGCTCCATTGTTAAAAAACCTTGAACCCTGATAACCAAAGTCAAACCTTCCGTTCATGAGTAAAATCCTGGAAAGAGAAGCTGCTTCCCAACTCCACAAACTCTTTGAATCCTTGGAACCTGACACACAGCACTAAGACTGCTCTCGTCAAGATTACAAATCACATCCTCTTTGCTGCAGACCCACATCAGCATCCTAATTCTCCTGGACTTTTCAGCAGCTTTTGGCAGTCTCTTATTCCATCCTCCTTGACTCTGTCCAACTATGTTCACCTCACAGATGTAGCGCTCTCCTGATTTCAGTCATATCTTGCTGATAGGACAGATCATGTCACCTGGATCCTCCTTCTCTAGTACAGTCAGGTAATGTCTCCCAAGAATCTGTGCTGTGACCTCTTCTTTTCATCAGTTACCGCCACCATCCACTATTTTGAGCTGAGGTTCCACTACTATGCTGATGATACACAGTTAAATCTCAGCATTAAACACTCCAGTCAGCACCTTCCTCTGATCCTTATCATCTTCTGGGAAACATCAAAATCTGAATGTCAACCAACTTTGTCAAGTTGAACAACAATAAAATCGAACTGTCGGTTGTTGTTTCTAAGCCATCATCCTGAAAGTGGCTGATCTTTGCCTTAATGTGAATATATTCTTCATTTCACCATCTCCAGATGTTTGCAACCTGGATGTTGTTCTGGACTCCACTCTCTAATTCTCATCACATATCAAATCTGTCTCTAAATCCACCTTCGACCATCTGAAAAACATCTCCAAACTTTGGCCTTGACTCCCAGACACAGCAGCTGAAACCCTAATTTATGCCATGTTCACTGGAAAATCTGTAGAGTGTTTAGAACTAAGGTCCCAGAGTTTTCATCCAGACTAACTCACTGGCCCAGTCAAGTCCCATATTTTCTGTAAAATCATTCTCATCACCGAAAAATCCCTTCATGTCCATGCTCCACAAAATCTACTGGACCTTCTGTTCCCCTAAACCCCATCTCAGACTCTGTGTTCACATGTTAAAGTCCTTCTCTCCATTCCCTCACACCAGGCTGTGGTCCTTTGGGACAGAGCCTCCAGCACTGTTGCTCCCACTCTCTGCAACATGTTCCTCCCTGAGTTCTGCAACACACTCAAAAAGCATTTGAAATGTCACCTACTGACTAAAGCCTTTAGCTTTTGACTCTTTAAAAAAAATTGGTCTAATGTAACCTTGGATTTCTTGAAATGCGCTATATAAATCTAAGTTATTATCATTATTACTGTTACGAGTTAAATCCTTAAATTTGACTCCACACATCACTTTGGCTGCTTCACTTACACTGCGTAGACACCAAGCTGTTGTCCAGCAAAGCCAAAACTCAACAATGAAATGTCTCAAATAAGCCTGCCAGCAATATCACATAAACAGGAGCGTAGGTTGACCACCACTGGCAAAGCAGAAAAAGAGAGTGCCATTGTAATCTCCTGCTGTCCAAGGTGTGAAGATAGAAAGTCAAAGTTCATTTTCTGGAGGCCAGCTACTTCCCACTACTGCTAGAGTTAAAATAAGAAACGCTGTGTCCTGAGGACATTTCCACATGTGTGTAGCATGTGTGTATGCTGTGCAGTAGTCAAAGCTTGCCGTGTGTCAGTTTGCGTGGGTGTGAGAGCAAGTTAAAGACGAAGCAAGAGTGTTCCTGTAAGTGTGAATCACTCAGGTGTCGGTGCGTGTGAGTGTGCAGTCTGCCAGAGAGAAAGATGAAGCAGTGAAAATGGAAACAGAAAATAGTGAGTTTAAATGAATGCAGAGAAACTGAAGCGTATTAAAGCTCAGGAGCACAGTGTGTGAGAGAGATGGGACAGAGGGAAAGGGGTCAGTTGGGATTACTTTGCTTGTGATAAATTGAGATTACTTTGTTTGTGTGATAAATTGGGATTAATGCGTTTGTGTCAGTGTTTCTTAGCAAAATGTACTTGAATACTCAACCGCTCATGCACTGCAGCCTGCAAAGACATCTGGACCAAGCTCATTAAAAACTTGGTGTCCAGCTGCACTTACCCATAGCAGTTAACATTGTCTGTGTTTGATGGCATGGTTAAATGTATTTGTTTGTACCCACTGTGTACTTTAAATGTCTTTTTGTTTGTCTATGCACAAAAAATGTCCCTATCTCTGTTATCCACTTTGCCCGGCAACATTTGTTTGTGTGTATGCCTTACTGTTTCACCTTCACTTCTGCCTTTTTGTGTGTCTCTGTGGTCTGCTACCTCACACTGTTTTTGCTGATTTTCCGCTTTCTGCGTATTTGTGTGTGTTTGTGATGAGCCGGCAGGAAATTGGCTGTTAAATGGGGCGACAGTAGCAGTGTGGGACAAAATTGAAACCAGAGAGACTGAGAGCCCAATCCATCTGCTCTCTGTGAAATCAACCCCCTTAAAACAACTGGCCCTTTCATTAAGCCTCTACTCACCACCTGCAGAGCAGTAGACACATGTACACACACACACACACACACACACACACACACACACACACACACACACACACACACACACA